AGATGTGATAAAATGCCAACTGAGTGAAATCCATTGATCTCTGTTTATTAAACTGGAGTGAATAGTTGAATACTTTTTCCCACAACACCAAACAAGAGTAAGGTCTGCTTTTAAAACAATAAACCATTTGGTTATTATAAATCAACCTGATTTAATCATTAAAAGCTTTAATTCTTAGTTCTGATGAAAATTAAAAAGAGAGATCATATCTCTCCTATCCTGGCTTCTCTTCATTGGCTTCCTGTTAAATCCAGAATAGAATTTAAAATCTTCCTTCTCACATATAAAGCCTTAAATGGCCAAGCTCCATCTTATATCAGAGATCTGATTGTTCCTTATGATCCAATAAAAGTACACAGAACAATACTTAGAATATAACTAACTTCAGAAGGTTTGTAACATCTGCCAACTTTTGTTTCCTGGTTCCATGTTTTTTGTTTGGGCCAAAATGTTTTAAGCCCTTTTTAAAAATAAATATTTGTCTTGCAAAGTTTTAGTTTTGGATACATGTTTGGATTTCCTGTGAATGTTCACAATAAATGTTTACACAAACAGCGATTGAATTTGTTTACAGTACTTTATGTAAATTATGAACTGTATTTTCAGGAATTTGATTTATCCACAGCTGTGTTGTGCGTGTTGCTTTTGCATTTTGCAACATAACCCAGCACATCAGGTGTTGTGCTCCCTTTATTTAATGCTTGTTCTTTAAATGGTACAGCCACCACAAGCACCCAGTAAAGAATGAGAGTAGAGCTTCAGGTCCAAACTTTCTTTAATAGAGCTGAGAGTGGTCTATAAGATATACAGAAAAAGGAAAACAAATGGAAACTATAATTTTCACTCGCTATAAATAGCTATTTCTAATTTTTCCAGCAGATGGCAGCAAGAGACTACAAATAAACCACAAACTATATTATCATCTTAACTGTTTAAATTGATATATATATATATATATATAAGCTGCACAGATATACAAATCTTGCTGGTGTACTGACAAGCTTGCTTTTATTCACTTACACGCTCCCAGTCTCTTGAACAAACGGCTCTAAACGGTTTCCAACGATTACTTTGTCAACTTTCCGCTAATCTAACACTGAACACATGCTCTTACAACAGCAATGGCTATTAGTAGCTTGAGATTACAATGAACCAATCACAGCAAACATTATTCAGACCGCTCCCTGAGCTCTTAAAATGAAACACACACAGTTATATTAGTCCATTTTCCCATCAGGACTTAAATGGATAAATGTTGTCATAGGAACATTTAGTTTTCTGCATCAGTTTTAGTACATTAGAAAGGAGGGGGGGGGAACTTAGTTTCAAGTTTAACACTTAGAATGCATATTAATGTCTCGTAATAAAAAAATCTAACTCAGTTTAAGACATTTGGATCCGTAAGATGGCAGGCTCTTTCCAGTCAATACTCACAGTAATGTTCTAATGGCATCTCTCAGAAACATATACAGTTTCACAGAATCGTATAAATCTGATGGTGTCATTAGGCCATACACTGCCATTAAAACATTGCAAATGTCATACACAGCTGAATCGCATGGTGTGGTCTGACGAAAGGTTTATGCATCTCTACACAGTTGAATATGATCAACTTGAACAGGAGTGAGGAAGTCAGTAGTACTGTACAGTTCAGGTATAGCATACATCACATTGGGCCTTCCGCTGGGAATGTGTACGTTTTTTGATGGCCTGATGTGGTGTGTGTTCCCTACTTGTGCTGTGTCATCCAGCTCATCCTGTAACAGATAAAACAGAAAAAATTAGTAGACTTTTGTTAACCTCAGCTGGAAAAAAAAGGATTAGGTATATTCATTGTCCTTAATTGTTAGTCATTATTTTATGTATTTCTTTTTTTATGTAGCAATCACAACAATGAAGTCATCAAAGAGGAATAGTGGAGAACGATCATTGCATTTTGGAGGTCAAGTAAATTGTAATTGGAGTGATTTCTTAGGTAGTTTGATTTATGGTGTAGGATCACAATCTCTCTGTGCGGGACTTGCACCAGGAGAAGACAGGTGAAATGTGCTGGCTACAAATTAGAAATTTTATTATAAACATTGTGAATAAAAAATATTCTTGCATTTGTTGCTCTTTTTACTGTGTTTTATAGAAATATATTTTTTGTGATGCATCTTAGACTGATTGATTTTTAAAATTACTTT